TCTAGGATGAGAAAATTATTTAAACTAGGCATGAAGTAGCAGCTTTTTTCTTGTTGCCAGACATAGTAGGCCTCCTTAGTTCTTGTTAGCCACCCGCCTCCCCCCCCCCCCATTGCTTCCAGAAGCTTCTTTCTTATTATGGCTTGCTATCTCAAACCCCAGCATTCCATTTCCAGAAGGTAATGCATTGACCCATCTTAGCCTATTGTGATGTTCCCTGTTGTGAAGTTCCCTGTTCCATGCAAACTGCCTTAATTCCCTGCGGTGTTGCTGCTCTAAACTCTACACCTACACCTACCTCATCCCACAGAGAGTCCTATGCCATCTTCCACTGGCATCCCTGGAACAGCCTCCCATCTCTCTTTCCTGGGCTGCCCTTCTCAGCCAACCTTGTATCCTTGCCTGTCAGCTGCCTTCTGTGATTGCCCATTCCTGACCACATGTATATTGTCCCACATTTCTATCTTCTAGAAGGCGAAATTGCTTTCTGCTTCATCAGTGCTAAGCCCACTGTCACACAGATTTCAAACAAAGAACTCTTTCCAGAAGCCAGGATCCTGATCTTGGATTCCGCCTACCCCAATAATTCTGTCCCCTATTTTCTATCGGTGATGGGTAAAGGATGCATAAATACTGCATTTCCTTTATGGAAGTGATTTTCTCCCTTAGCCTCACCCTCTGTCTTCTGTGCCAGCTCTAAGCCCACAGGTGAACCTGGCCCGGGATGCTGCAAACACATAGGTCACTTGCTATCAAAGCTGGGAAGTGGGATTTGTCTGGACCCTTCCTTCTTTCCCCACGTGGTCTCAGCAGTTCTCAGTCCTCCTACCCTGTGCCTGCCCCTCTTCCTGTCTTCCCCAGCCCTGGACGCAATCATGAAGTCAGCTGAAAGCTGCTTTTCAAAAAAGCTACTTTTTGCTTCCTCCTTTCTTCTCTTTTTCACAGTCCATTAATCACCATTTCTCATCCAGTCAGCTTCTTAAAGTATTTTTGAACCCACCCCTCTTCACCAGAAGCTTTGAAATCCTGATTCTTACTTACCTAGGACTTTACAGTAACCTCTCTGCAGACCTCTTTACTAGTTTTCACCATCATTGACGTCACACATTAACCCCTACCCCCCGGGGAGCCTCTGGTCAGAAAACCACACCCTTCTTAAGAAATTAAATCATTTAAAAACAAAAAGATCCTCTGGGTGCAGCTGCCCACTGCCTTTGGGAAAAGCCCATGCTTCCTGATCTGGCCCTTGCCACTTCCACTTGGTTAACCCCTCATCTGTTTCCCCTTCTCCCTGAAGTACCCTCTCCACAACGCCATTCTCTGGCCACTCTGATCTACCAGATACATTCTCTAAAGGTTTTGGTCCTTGCATGTGGGCCGCACCCTCACGGATGTCCTTCCCTCTCTTCTTGCCTGCTCATCAGAACTGCCCGGGCATCCCTTCCCTCAAGACCATGATGCTGTGGGGCCCCAGGAGTCAGTTTGGGGCAATTTAGGGCTATAGGAAAGGATGTTGGAAAAATGAAACAAAAACTTTCAGTTAAGTTTAGTATCTGGTCACTTTTAGAGCTTCATGCACTTGATGGGGATTCTTTATTCACTTGTAGC